CATGTACAAAATTGATAGGAGGGGGGGTCCAAAAATCGTATACTAGGAAATTACCAAGAATTGTTTATAAAATGAATTTATAGCTTCCACCTGCTTGTCATTGATAATAGTGTACCTAGATTATATTTCAAAATAAAATTTTCACATTTAAGTCTTCACTGTTAACCTATTAGAAAAGACCAGGTTATAAGATTTTAATATTTATGTTCTTTGAACGTGGCTTTCTTCTCATTCAAAACTCTATGACAATACAAATAAACCGGTTTTTTAACTGTAACAAGCGATTTTAAATTTTGCGCTATAATAAGACAAAATACTTGATGAAAACGAACCTGAACTGATTTAATGTGTTGCTGTAAGCTCGGACTGCTCAGTTGCAATGGCGGAGTAAACAGCTGATCCCCGGAATCCGGATACAAGATTCAGATTTAGGCCGCTAGATGACTCTGATCCGGGGGAGCAAATTTGTAGACTCTATTTTTAAACAATAACAATTTCTCAATAAATCTACAAAAAAAAGTTTCAAAGAGGATAATTGAGACTTTTAGTTTAAAAAGCAATAAGAATAAGAAAAAAATGTTTCTTTTTTTTTGGTTGACAATCATTTTGAATCCTAATGATTTATTAAATTTTCTACAGATACACTCCTCCATTTAATTAATTATATTTACAAATGTCGCCGCTAGAGGGATTTTAAACTTCCGATTTAATGGCTGAACGTTAAAGAATGATTTTATTTTGACATTTTGACATTCTTTTGGGAGGCGAGGCCATAATCGATTTAAGAAGCTGTCAAGGAGGAGGGAGGTTTAAGGTGGGGGGGGGGGGGTCACGCCATTAAATGATCAATAATTGTTTTCAGTATTATTGAAGTAAAATATATTCCGATATTATATGGTTAATGGAGCAGCTTTTAAGCAAAGAATGAAGCACATTCGAAAATTTAGGACATAAAACATATATTTAAAAGACAAGACTAGAGCAGATTTGAGATAATTGAAGCACAATTATAAGATAAGAATGGAGCACATTTGTATAAAGTAAAAATGAAGCACATTTAGGATAAATGAATCAGAAAATTTAATTCGAATTAAAAACTCACAGTTTATAGTCTACAAGGGCGTATACAGAAATAAATATGTAGGGGGGGGCAAGATTTGCGCGAAGCGCAAAAAAAATTTTTGCCCCCCCTTAGGAGCTCCTATGGGGGGGGGCAAAATTCGAACTGTAAATTCATAACACTTGGCTTCTTGGATATCAGGCATAAGTATAAGATACTTAAAAGGCACACATACAGTCCAAATAATTACCTTCTAAGCATTGTTTCTAAAAAATCGACATTTTATTATACTTTTACAGGTATATTTAGTATTTAAACTAGAGATAGTAAAAGACATTTTTGAAAATAAAAACTTAACTTAAACTTAAATTCTATGAGATGAAAAAAAGTACAAAGGTCCAGAAAATAATTATGACTTGTAAAAGTTTCTGTTGTGAAAAAAGTAGGAGTACAATTGCTGCAATCTAAGAATGAATGATAACTCAAGGCTTATAAATAACAGTATTTGATTCATGATAATTATTAATCAGCAATTCACAGATACCAGTCACAACGGCAACTTTTAACAGACTCACATCACTACTAAACAAGACTAGCATATAATGTAAAGTGTGTGAGCTGTACAAATGTATGCAGACTGTGTGTTCTCTGAACCCAACTAAACTCTGTGTACTCTGTGAACTTAAAAGTTAAAATTAGGTTAGGTTGGTTAGGTTAACTTGGTTACAGCATGAGCACTGCACTGTAATTATATATATTTTAAAATTTTGATTTTTTATAATAATCATGAAAAGCAAACTTATTTTTTTTGTGTTCTTCACTCTTCAGTTAAGATTTGAAAAGTGTGAAAGGCTTGCAGAATTCTAGGGGGGGGCTACGCCCCCCCCCCTTTACAAGTCTAGGGGGGGCACTGCCCCCCATGCCCCCCCCCCTGTATACGCCCTTGTTTATAGAACACACATTAAGAACTTCTAGTTAGAACACACAAATTAAGAACTCTGCACAGTTAGAACACACATTAAAAACTCACAGTTAGAACACACATTAAGAACTCACAGTTAGAACACACATTAAGAACTCACAGTTAGAACACACAGTAAGAACTTCTAGTTAGAACACACATTAAGTAGTCACAGTATATGGACACAAATTAAGAACTCACAGTTAGAACACACATTAAGAACTCACAGTTAGAACACACATTAAGAACACACATTAAAAACTCATAGTAGAACACACATAATAAGAACTCACAGTTAGGACACACATTAAGAACTCACAGTAAGAACACACATTAAGAACTCACAGTTAAAACACACATTAAGAACTCACAGCTAGAACAAACATTAAGAACTCACAGTTTGAACACACATTAAGAACTCACAGTTAGAACTCACACATTAAAAACTCACAGTTAGAACACACATTAAGAACTCACAGTTATAGCACACAAACTTCTAGTTAGAACACACATTAAGAACTCACAGTTAAAACACATATTAAAAACTCACAGTTAGAACACACATTAAGAATTTACAGTTAGGACACACATTAATCAACCCTCAGCAGAACTCTGGGGCAGCAAGGTTCAACAGTTCTTGAATAACAGACAACCAAAACTTCATTAAAAAATTGAAGACTTATGATTTTAGGTAAAAGAAAAAATGGAGATATTCATGTTTTTTTCTTCTGATTTTTATACAGTTTATACCAGAAGTTCCGAGTTATTGAAAGGATTTATAAATTGTCGGCTTGATATTTTTTCAATGGGGTTACTATTATAGAGGGTTACACCCACAAAGGATGAGACTTCAGAGAAGATTGGAAGGAATTTGTTAAATCCGTTCTTTAACTCAATTGAATATAGAAACCAATGATAAAGCTTCAAACCGTCGTATTTTTTAAGTTTTAGGTCGTCTTTACAGTATCATCCTTTGTGGCTAACCATGTACGTAAATTTTAGTAATTAATTTTTAAAAAAGCCTTGAATATGCAGGAACAGTTATAGAGTTTTATATAATCATTTGATTAAAAAACTAAATATCTGCAGCATTCAATTATCAGAAACTAAGAAGACGACATTTTATTAATTCTTCCGGTGTCTCTTTATATTTGAACTTAACTATATAAGACCTAAATCTCAGTAATTGTAAAAATAATTAAGTAGCCATGGACATTTAAATATCTTAATATAATTATTCAATTTAAAAAAAACTAAATATCTACAGCATTACATTATCAGTAGGTTTAAGATAAGAAGATAAGATAAAATAAGATTTATTGCTAACAATACATAAAACAATTATTATGTTACTGGGAAAAAATGTACAACTATTTATTATTTACATATATATGTACTATAGCAATTAGGTGGAGATTAGCTTACACTGTCATAGGTATTATCCCCCCCATAAAAAAAAAACTTTTACAATAAGTTGAATATTACTAGGATTTGAGAGTTTACAATAAGTTGAATATTACTACAGTTTACAAGATGTTGAATATTACTAGAATTTGAGAGTTTACAATAAGTTGAATATTACTATAGTTTACAAGATGTTGAATATTACTAGGATTTGAGAGTTTACAATAAGTTGAATATTACTATAGTTTACAAGATGTTGAATATTACTAGGATTTGAGAGTTTACAATAAGTTGAATATTACTAGGATTTGAGAGTTTACAAGATGTTGAATATTACTAGGATTTGAGAGTTTTCAAGATGGTGAATATTACTATAGTTTACAAGATGTTGAATATTACTAGGATTTGAGAGTTTACAAGATGTTGAATATTACTAGTTTACCAAAGTGCCAAATAAGAGCATAAATTAGTTTTCAGTTATTAAGTTTGGAATGTATAAGATTAAGCATGTATACAAATCTAGATAATATTATATTCATTTTTTTGTAAGAATAGCATTGAGGTTTATTGAACTTTGGGATGTATAGGAGTAAAATAGCATTTCTGATAATTATTATTATTACTGGCAAAAATTATAATCTAGTTCCATCGATACTGGATTTAGCAGCGGATAATCCAGTTCCAGACAATGATGCTGGATTCAGCAGTAGATAATCTAGTATAATAGACAATGAGGCTGGATTCAGCAGCTGATAATCTAGTTCTAGACAATGATGCTGGATTCAGCAGTAGATAATCTAGTTCCAGACAATGATGCTGGATTCAGCAGTAGATAATCTAGTTCCAGACAATGATGCTGGATTCAGCAGCGGATAATCTAGTTCCAGACAATGATGCTGGATTATCAGCATTTAATCTAGTTCCAGACAATGATGCTGGATTCAGCAGCTGATAATCTATTTCCAGAACATGCTGCTGGATTTAGCAGCTGATAATCTAGTTCCAGACAGTAATATTGGATTCAGCAGCTGATAATCTTGTGGTTTTAACAATTTTTTTTATTGATTTTGATGGTTATTATATTGCTAGAACTAATGTGGAACTAACATTTACTTTTTTTACTCTACAGAGGTTCATCACCATCACTGAATTTTAAATCTAGTTCCAGACTATGATGCAGGATTCACCATTAGATAATCTAGTTACAGAAATCATGCTGTATGAGCAGCTGATAATCTAGTTCCAGACTATGATGCTGGATTTAGCAGTATATAATCTAGTTCCAGACAATGATGCTGGATTCAGCAGTAGATAATCTAATACTATACAATGACGCTAAATTCAGCAGCTGATTTTATAGTTCCAGACAAAGATGCTGGATTCAGCTGCTGAAAATCTAGTTCCAGACAATGGTGCTGGTTTTAGCAGATATTTATTTTATTTCACTATGTTGCATCGGAATATTACTTCTCTGGATCAGAACGGAAGGTTTTCTCTATTCTCTGGTAGCTTTTAGTTTACTTTTTCACCCCAAGGTGTCTCGCTTTGCTAAAGCAGTATACAGTTTTTAACAACTAAAAACTTAACATTTTTGACAATTAACTATTTAACTTAAATTTGAAACATCTTATAGGGATTAGGGATGGCAACATTTTAATTTTTTTTTAAACAATCATTTCGTTATAAAAACAAAGACAAAAAATCGTAAACGAAAGGATGGTTTTTAAAAACGATCGTTTTTTTTAAAGTTTGTTTTTTTTAAAAATGGTCGTTTTGAAAACGATATTTTTGAAAAGTGCGTTTTTAAAAATGATCGTTTTTATAACATTCGTCATTTCATTAACGAAGAGTGGAAACCGACTGTTTAACGATCGTTTTCAAAAACGATTAACAACCCTAAATTAGGGATAAAAACATTTAAAATTTTATCTTTAGATCCGAAATGTGCTTTATAAATCAAATATTTCTTTAGTCGTCATCCATAGCATATTTGAAAATCTCCCGTTACTGAATTAAACTTATTCAAACTAGTTTAAAGAAGAGAATAAATCTGAATTGAAGCAGAATAATTCAGTTGGGACGAAATTTTTCTGTTCGATATAAATATTTTATTTCTTGACCTTAATAAACTGCAGAATTAAAACTTCTATAATTAAGCATAATCCTATGTGTCATCAGGAATTTCCGATTGTGAGTGGCACTGTCAGTATGGTACGCATGAGTATTGAGTAGTACCAGTAAAATTTCAAGAAGAACTTACAGTACATAAAAGCTCTAGAGCTACTCTCCGTAGCACCAGTATGAAGGCATTTGCCATTTTATGTTGCGCGTCCATGCCCCGTAAAATTCCAAAACAAAGAGAGGGGGATTGAATTTTGTAGAGCCAGAAAAATAATATCTGTGGTATGCCTGCGTAGAGACTGGCAGCTGGTGGGGTCTTAAATTTAAGACATGTGGCCGCAGCGCTCGGCCCCCTAGCCTGTCCTAGCCACAGCGATCGGCCCAGAAAGTGTCATAACTTAACCTAACCCGTAGCCACAGCGCTCGGCCCCCTAGCCTGTCCTAGCTGCAGGGCTTGGCCCAGAAAGTGTCTTAACCTAACCTAACCCTAAGTAAATACTAATTTCTGGATCTACAAAATTCAATCCTCCTCTCTCTGTTTTGGAATTTTACGGAACATGTGCGCGCAACATAGAATGGCAAATCTCCAGTATGAATGCTCTCATGTAGCGAAGAATAAATGATGGCTTGAAGAGTATCATTTAAAACATAAAGGAACGCCAAGGACCACTATATAAGCCTAGTTTAATAAATATTATTTTATTTTATATAAATATTTATTCACACCTAAATAAGTAGTTAAATTCTAAATTCATTGTTTAATTCATAATATAATAATTTACATCCAATGTTAGCAAATACAAATTATAAATTAAAAAGCTTTTTTATAAAACAAAAATGATTCATTATCTTTTTAAGATAAAACCATCAGTTAATATTTCAAAATATGAGTCTTGGAATTAACTTGTAGTTCTTTTGTTTAATAATTTTAAAACTAAATAATATTAACACACATCTACATAATTCATATTAAACTTTAATATCTAAGCCATGTAATCTGTAGGATAAGCAATTAACTATAAATCTGTTAAAATAAATTCGAAATATAAGGAAGACGATTTTTCCGACTCAAATGCCGACGTTAATTCTCAATGTTTGTGTACACAGGAAGCAAGCACACCACATGTGTCAAATCCCCGCTCACCTTAGATCCCCGCTTCAACCGGCAGTCAGTTACGAACACTCATATTCACAACTCCATCTCTACCCTGGCTCCTCCATGATGATGATGCAGATACTCAGCGCAACGCACCTGTAGATCTGCCCCACCAACATGAAGCTCTACATCACCCCCCTGACTCCTTCGTGCTGATGATGCAGATACTGAACTAACAGCAGGCATGCTTATACTTCTGATCTCCCTATTAACTTCTTGAGAAGCTTACTTAGGAAACTTGTCGAGCTTTGTCCGAAGTTTCCGCTATCTCGAGTTGCCTTGCCTCTGATACATTGATAAACCCTGTTGTCCCAGTTCCCGGATCTGCTCCACCAACATGAAGCTCTACAACACTCCCTTGAAGCACCATCTAATATCCATCATTAATTCCTTTTTGTTAATTTCTAAATCAACCAATTTTAACCTTCGCCATGTGCAAATATTTCAAAACAATTTTATTTTTCTTAAATAAATGTTATAGAATATTTGTGTTTTTCCTGATTTCTTTATTTGTATATTTTCTGACCTTTTTAAAGGTCAACAAAATCTGTGTTTAAGCCAAACTAAAAGCTATGTTGCTTTGTAATTAAATATTACTGTGGTAATTTAGCTTAAAAATTAAAATTGTGCTTGTGAAGCAGTTTTTTAACATTTGTAAAGCCTAATATTTCAAATTTTTGGATTTGGTTTTGTTTAAGACAACAAAGTTTGTTACAAGGACAATTTTTATGATAAATCTAAATTTTAAAAATGTAAAAATATTAGTTATTGTCAAAGTTAAATTATAAACGTTAAACATTTCAATATATAATTATACAATAGTAAATTATAAGTAACATTTATGAAAGAAAAAAAATTGAAAAAGATAATAACTCATTCTTTAATCATCGATTAAAAAAAGCAGAGATCATTAGGGGAGGTAGATTTTTCAATTTTTCAAAACATCAAGATATAAATATCTAAAGATACGACTTGAACTGCTGAATACTGTTCATTTGTCTGTTTTTTGCAATTTTAAAATTGTTCTGCTAAAGGCTAAAAAACTATTTTTTTTAATAATCTGACAAAAATAATTTGCTCCATTTCAAGAAATTTTTGTTAATTTAACGTTTGTGAATATATACCTCATGAATACCGATCTTGATTTATTTTAACGACACACAAATAAAAATTGAATAACTTTGACAATTATTAAGAAAGAAAATATCAAATCTTTTTATTTAATGAATCAAAGAAAACTTTAAAACTGGTGAAACTTGATTTTATAAAAAAAGTGCCAAATAGTTTTACCCTTGGGATAAGTAAGAATCCTTATTGTGGTTTTAATCAACTTCCATATTATTTATATTCTGATATATATTTTTAACTGTTTGAAATGTTAAAACTGCTAACTTTAATCAACTTACATATAATTTATATTTTGATATATATTTTTAACTGTTTGAAATGTTAAAACTGCTAACTTTAATCAACTTACATATAATTTATATTTTGATATATATTTTTAACTGTTTGAAATGTTAAAACTGCTAACTTTAATCAACTTACATATAATTTATATTAAGATATATATTTTTAACTGTTTGAAATGTTAAAACTGCTAACTTTAATCAACTAAAAGAATAAGCAAAACTTTATATTTTGAAATTAGTTGTAAAAGCAGTAGAGTAGTTTTGTTTTATATAATAATATAAAATATCTGTAGCTAATAATCTAGTTCTAGACAATGATGCTGGATTCTGCAGTAGCCGATAATCTAGTTCCAGACAATGATACTGAATTCAGCGGCATATAATCTAGTTTCAGACAATGATACTGAATTCAGCGGCAGATAATCTAGTTCTAGACAATGATGCTGGATTCAGCAGCAAATAATCCAGTTCCAGACAATGATGTTGGATTCAGCAGCTGATAATCTAGTTCCAGACAATAATGTTGGATTCAGCAGCTGATAATCTAGTGCTAGACAATGATGGTGGATTCAGCAGCTGATAATCTAGTTTCAGACAATGATGCTGGATTCAGCAGCAGATAATCCAGTTCCAGACAATGATGCTGGATTCAGCAGCAGGTAATCTAGTTCCAGACAATGGTGTTGGATTCAGCAGCTGATAATCTAGTTTCAGACAATGATGTTGGATTCAGCAGCTGATAATCCAGTTCCAGACAATGATGCTGGATTCAGCGGCAGATAATCTAGTTCCAGACAATGATGCTAGATTTGAACCCACCTGTCAATGGTTTACTGAAAAAAAATAAAGAATGTTTTCTAAATAATTCTTTCTATGGTACAATAAAAATATTTAGCAAAATCTTGTAAAAAAGTAAATATTTATGCCATGTGATCACAGGTGATTGAACAAACGGTAACCACCTAAAAAGTTTCTGAAAAAAAGCTTCTGGAAATAAAGTCCTAAATTTTGGCACTATAAAGTCCTGTGGAAAAAAGTCCTTGAAATAAAAAGTCTCTGGAATATCCAGTTTGATTCTATACAAAATTGTTCCCGGAAAAAAGTCCTTTTACAGTAAAAATGCTTGGTAACAGAGATTGTTTACAAAAAAAGGGGCAATTAATATTAAATATATCCTTGGCCTTATTCAATATGCAGATGCATAACAAAAGTACTTTTTATGAAAACCTCTTGAACTTGACCTTATTTTGACAACTTGACAAGACTTTGTTTCTTTTTTTTTTCTTTATATATTTTCTTCAGGACTCTAATTTCTGTGATTTTATTTTCTCTATATTATTTAATACGAAAAAGTCCCAGAAATCTTAAACTTTATTTCCTAGGACTTCAGAAAATTGGAACTTTTTTACCAAAGTTTTTATTTCCACATTTTTTCATTCAGAAACTTTTTTCCTGTGATTTTACATAGATTCTAACAAACATGATCATATTAATCAAATAAATTTTAGTTTGAAATACCTACCCTGGAATGTAATTAAAGTTCATATTTGAGTTTTTTCTTAGCAGACAAAAGTTTGCATATCCAAAGTTGGTTGGCCATGTCCAAACCCAACCCTATAAACAAGAGATAGCTGAAAGAGAATGTAAGAGTAATATCAAGTGACCCTCTATGCACTAACTCACTGTTCTGTGTCTCTTGATATTTTTATTTTAGAACTAAAATTCTGAGATTACCCGGGCCCCACAAATTCAGCTTCAACCTCGAGAGATGGTACTGTTCAGTGTTCATGAATTTAAAACATCTGCAGAAAAGTTTATCAATATACATGGGTGATGGAAGAACTGCTTGGTTATCAACATCAAGCAGTTCTTAAAGAATTGTTAAAGAATTCAAGAAAATTTACAATTACTGAAAGTGAAATCAATTCTGTTCAATAAGCTAAAAATACTTGTTAGTGGGTTACTTACAAAAAATATGATTTCCTAAAAAAAGGAAGAAGTGGTGCTAATCTAAGCAGAGATAAGAGAGTACACAGATCTAATAAAGGCTTAAAATAGCAGGTTCCATTGTGAACAATATGACCAATAAGCAGACGTCTATATGTAGTAAATGCCCTTATCCATAAGGGTATCTATCTCAAACCCTTACCTATCCCGGTATAATTCGTCAGCTATCAATGTCAGCACAGACACAAGCTCAGCTATCAATGTCTTCACAAACTATACCCAACAGAAGTCTGGTAGGTGGGAGGGTATTTAAATGCATAACTAGCACAATTAGCACAACTAAATGATACTATTATTATTGCATATTTTATTCCAATTGATAAAAACGTTGACGAATATAAAGTGTACATGAACCCCGCTTCATCTATGCATTATTGAACTTGGTTCATACAAGACACAAGCTCATAATCGATCAATGCCAAACCAATGGGCATGATCTCTTGAGCTTTCAATATCAATTGGATGCTCGTAACTATCAATGAAAAACCAATGGGCATGATCTAAATTCAAATGTTTCAACAAGGACCAGCTTTCAATGTCAAGACACAAGCTTAGCTATCAATGTTAACATGGACACAAGCTCTTAATCGATCAATGCCAAACCAATGGGCACAATCTCTTGAGCTTTTAATATCAATGGGAAGCTCTTAATCGATCAATACCAAACCATTTGGCAAGATTTTGTGAGCTACCAATGTCAATTGGAAGCTCTTAACTATTAATGATAAACCAATGGGCACGATCCTTGACTTGTGTTTGTTAAAACAAGGAATGATCACTCTTTTACAGCATACAGTACGGGGTCTCTATATCAGCTAATGTATTTGAGGTTTAAAGTTAATAGATGTAATTACAATTCCTACGTTGTTATCTATATCACATGATTAAGACAATCATGTTACATATTCACAGGACAGTTAAAATAGACGCAAGATTTACATCATTATATATCACATGATTAAGCTAATTATGATACATATTGATTTGAAGCGCAGTTCAAATGTATAATTGGTTATACTTAGAGGTATACAAACATAGATAGATAGTAATGTAAAACATATTTGCCACAATGTTTAATACATATATTCAGGGATATTTGAGGATTCTTTGGACAGGAAGTATTAAACCTTCAAAAATAAACTAAAAATAAACCTCATGAATTTTTTGTTTTAAGTTTAAAGTTTGATTTTTTCGATTTCTTCAAAAATTGTAAAACTTACCCAGTAATGGGTATTATATGTGACAAAAGGCTGTTAGATGGCAGTCACAAACCTTTTGTAATAACATAGCATGTCATGCCTACTAAGCCCAGCGCATGAAAGCTGATATTTGTCACTGTAAGATATTATATATAAATTGTTAACACTTATGACGTTAGAATACAGTTGTACTCAATGTATTGACAGTATTATTCAAATTCTACTTTGCCATCTATTGTACTTGATAATCTATTTGCTCTTACGTTAGAATAGAAACCACAGACTAACCAGGCTGCACATCCGCTCTACCCAATAGGCTAAGCAGGCCAAAAGAGTCCCAGCTCGCCATGAAAGGTTTTTTTACTGCCATCTAATGGCCACTTGTTGCTATATAATACCCATTCAGGGGTTAAGTTTTACAACTTTTAAAGAAATACTCCAATTTTTAACATGAAAAAATTTAGTCTATTTTTGAAAATTTTGTATTTCGTTTTCAAAGGATCCTTAAATATCCCTGAATACAGATGTCTGCTGATTGGTCATGTACAGTATTTGTACACACAATAGAACCTGCTCTGGAAAATATCACAAATCAATCGATCTATGTTACTCTCTATCTCTGACAGAAATATTCCTTAATTTTATAAGAATGTTAACCACCATAATGCATGCAGTGTATATCATGTACTAGTACTGTATGTAAACATAAGCTGAACTTCTTTACTGAAAAATAAAGTATACATAAACTGCCTTTATAAATCAGAGACACTAATGAGGAAGTCCAGTTTTTGTTGGTGGAAATTCAGTGTGTGAAGCTTATGGATTCATTCTAATTTTCTATAATAACAAGACATTCATATACATGTCACCAATAGCTGGCCAAACGGCTGGACAGATTGAGCTGACATTTTTTGTGCACACTCATGGGTAGCCGGTTGGCGCCTTAAGTTATTTGTATTTGAAAAATGCGGAAACGGATCAAAAATATGAGGAAACGGACCTAAAATTTGAGGAAACCGATCAACAAATTGAGATTTTTAAAGTTTTTGAAAAAAGCGAAAACGGATCTAAAATATGAGGAAACGAACCAAAAAATTTGAGGAAACCGATCAACAAATTGAGATTTTTAAAGTTTTTGAAATAAGCAGAAACGGATCAAAAATATGAGGAAACGGACCTAAAATTTGAGGAAACCGATCAACAAATTGAAATTTTTAAAGTTTTTGAAAAAAGCGGAAATGGATCAAAAATATGAGGAAAGGGACCTAAAATTTGAGGAAACTGATCAACAAAATTAGATTTTTAAAGTTTTTGAAAAAAAGCGGAAACGGATCAAAAATATGAGGAAACTGACCTAAAATTTGAGGAAACCGATCAACAACTTGAGATTTTTAAAGTTTTTGAAAAAAAGCGGAAACGGATCAAAAATATGAGGAAACGGACCTAATATTTTAAGAAACCGACAACAAATTGAGATTTTTAAAGTTTTTGAAAAATCGGAAACGGATCAAAAATATGAGGAAACGGACCTAAAATTTGAGGAAACCGATCAACAAATTGAGATTATTAAATTTTTGAAAAAAGCGGAAACGGATCAAAAATATGAGGAAACGGACCTAAAATTTGAGGAAACCGATCAACCAAATGAGAATTTTAAAGTTTTTGAAAAAAGCGGAAACGGATCAAAATTTGAGGAAACCGATCAACAAATTGAGATTTTTAAAGTTTTTGAAAAAAGCGGAAACGGATCAAAAATATGAGGAAACGGACCTAAAATTTGAGGAAACCAATCAACCAAATGAGAATTTTAAAATTTTTGAAAAAAGCGGAAACGGATCAATAAAATGAGGTAACGGACCTAAAAATATGAAGAAATTGATCAAAAAAAGAGCAAACCATTCAACTATAAATATTGGGAAACGGATACAAAATATTCAGAAATCCCTCAACAACTCTGAACTTTTGAGGGATTTCCTCGAATTTCTAAAAAAAGTGGAAGTTCCTCAAAAATAATTTTTGATCCGTTTCCGTGTTGAGGCGTTTCCATGTCACCAACTTTTGGTCATCAAAGTGGCTCACTTAACCCTATCTCTGCTGGGGTACTTGAAAACCAGGATATGCTGGGGGGGGGGCAATTTGACCCCCCCCCCCTCTAAATCCCATGTTTGATGTCCAAATATGACAAATGATACATCATTGGAAAGCTCTTGTGCTCTACTTTTAGAATCTGAAAAAAAAAATGCAAATTTGCAAAAATTGAATTTTTTATGGCAAAATCCAGATATATAGTAAAAATGTTTGCAAAAAAAAATTTGTCCAAAAAATGAAAAATTATACATTTTTGAAAAGCCCTTGACCATGCCATTTTAAATATGCAAAAATTTTTGCAAAATTTTAAATAACCTGATTTTTAATCAAGAAAAACTAAAAATGTGCAAATTTCCTTTGACAGGTTGTTTGCAAAAAATTTGCAATTTTTTTTCGCAAAACTTGTGTAATCCGTTTCCTTATGTAGGCTTTCCAAAAAGCTAAATTTTATCAAAATCTGACAAGTGAAAGTGGGTCAAAACAAAGATTTAGTTTGTTACAGGAAAAAGCAGTCATTCAGGCAATGTGCCTGAGGACTCAGGCAGTTAGTATTAAAGCCCGGTTTTAGGCCTAAAGGGAGGGCTTTGGGTATGTAGGAAAAGTCAGAAAATTTCAACAGCATCAGACCAATACTTTTTGAGTTATGTAAAAAAAACTACAGGGGGGGGTCAAATTTACCCCCCCCCCCCCCAGCAGGAATAGGGTTAAATGAATCTAATAACTTACAATGCACTGGGTGTTGGATTCACAGTACTGCTGGCAAACAGTGGCTGATGTTGTACCACTTATTTCTTTCAGATGAGCCCCATCTTTCAAATCAGCAGATAAAATCTGTTTTCAATGTTTTATTATAATTAGCTGATGTATCAAATTCCAACTAGGACTGGGCAAGGTTCTGTTAACGAACAGCAATTATTGAAAATGAACGGAAGATTACTTTAGCAAATGGCAAAACCATTAATTTTAAACACATTTTTGAAAAATAACTGTAAATGGATCTAAAGAAAAGGGAAGATAAACTGGAACAAACAGATGTGCCTTAAATTATGAGCATACTTGGTAATTTCTAAAATTGCAAAAATAAACTTACAGAAATAATAAAATACTTTATAAAAGAAATATTTGTTGTTAACAATTTTTCTTCTGTTAACCCTATCCCTGCTGGGGTACTTGAAAACCAGGATACGCTGGGGGGGGTCAATTTGACCCCCCCTCTAAATCCCATGTTTAATGTCCAAATATGACAAATGATACATCATTGGAAAGCTCTTGTGCTCTACTTTTAGAATCTGCAAAAAAATTGCAAATTTGCAAAAATTGAATTTTTTATTGCAAAATCTAGTTATATAGTAAAAATGTTTGCAAAAAAAAAATTTTCCAAAAAATGATATATTATACATTTTTGAAAAGCCCTTGACCATGCCATTTTAAATATGCAAAAATTTTTGCAAAATTTTAAATAACCTGATTTTTAATCAAGAAAAACTAAAAATGTGCAAATTTCCTTTGACAGGTTGTTTGCAAAAAATTTGCAATTTTTTTTCGCAAAACTTGTGTAATCCGTTTCCTTATGTAGGCTTTCCAAAAAGCTAAATTTTATCAAAATCTGACAAGTGAAAGTGGGTCAAAACAAAGATTTAGTTTGTTACAGGCAAAAGCAGTCATTCAGGCAGTGTGCCTGAGGACTCAGGCAGTTAGTATTAAAGCCCGGTTTTAGGTCTAAAGGGAGGGCTTTGGGTATATAGGAAAAGTCAGAAAATTTCAACAGCCTCAGACCAATACTTTTTGAGTTATGTAAAAAAAACTACAGGGGGGGGTCAAATTGGCCCCCCCCCCCCAGCGGGAATAGGGTTAATGGCCATGCTGTTATTAAAATTGAGATAGCTAACAAATTTTTAAGAAAAAAGGGATCATATAGCTAGGGATGAATGATCACCTAAAAAGTTGGTAATCATTAACAAAAGGCTTGAAAAATTCTGAATGTTCCAACAAAAGCTCCTTCTTGCATTCACAGTAGTTTTTTCATACTTATGTTTACAAACAGATGTTAGTTTATAAACATATTGAATTTTAATAATAATTTCCTGTAGAGCTGTTTGATTATTATAAGCTTTGTTTCTAATACACTTAGATCCAGGACAAACAAACTCTGATCCCCTGAACAGTTCACACTCAATTATCATAATTCTAACTGCTAACCTATAACATAAATTATTACATACTCCTTTATAACTCTTCTTACAGAGTGTTCACGAAAAATGAAAGATGGCAAGCTATTGGCTTATGTTGAAAAATATTTGATGATAATTGCTTAAAAGGACACCCTTTACACAGTATATGTAAGGTAAAACGAGACATAACAGCAAGTTAAATTAATATAAAATTCAGTGGGGTATCCTGTTCTGGACAAAACTAGAGACTAACAAGCAAGTTGTTGAAGCTGGAGTTAGATATCCACGTGACCCAGAGGTAATGTTTGCAGGATTTTTCAAATTCCTCTAAAATAAGAATTTATTATAAATATTCAGAGCTTATAATTCTTATTTTCATTTTAAAACAATATAATATTCAACCTTGGATGGATATAGATGTAGGCTATAGAGTGAGTGCCAAATGCTTTATGCATATATAAATAAAATATGAATAAAACAATTTAACAAAAATTTGGCAAAATTTCAAGTGGAAATCTGCAGTAAATGGAATCAAAATCAAATTATAACCTTAGGACTGCTTGATGCCTTCAAAAATGCAAATACTTGAATTTTTTATATCTCATTTCATTTTTTACGAACTTTTATGAAATTTTTCAAAACAATTAAAGTTAACATTTTCCACCATTTTTCAACAAATTTTATTTTTTCAATAATAAAAAAATTTCAATGATTTATTATTTCATTGAAACTGAATTACCAATCGCTGGTTCAATTCCTGAATCAACAATTCATTACCTAAACCCTAATAAATCTTTAATTTTGAATAAATTCATAATTTGAACCGACGGTAGGTAGCTCAACAACTTCTAACAGTTTATTAAATTTAGTCTAGATCAAAGAAATTGTATTCGTTTGAAATTAAAAAAAACTACCTCGCAGCATTTGAGACCACCAGCAAATGGGAAAGGATGAGTGTCAGGGCAGATGTTAGCTGTCTAAAAATGTATTGAAATCATTTATTATTGAAGTTTTGAACTTTAATATTTTAATTTTATAAATTTTGAGTTTTATTTAAAAACACACTTTTAGTGCTGGGATAAAAGGCTGTTTTAAAATCAATAATTTGTCATGTTTTAAAAAAACTTTTCAAACAATTTTTTACTTTAAATGAAGTTCAATTTTAATCAATTCATTTGAAATAGACTAGATATTGAAACTGGAAGTAAAACATTATTCAAACAAGACATTTTTCTCACTTGGGTAACAAACAAAACAAACTAGGGTTTTCTGACTATATAAAAGCAAATAATTAATTCACAATCCCATGGATATCAATAGATTCTGTTTTAAGCACTGAACAAAAATGTTTTGAATTTTTAATATGGAACCAAATAATTAATTTACTTCACTCAAAATTTAACATGAAATCAAAACTAAGAGATGAAGCTACAAGGTCACAAAGTTTGCATCAGTAATATTGCATAAATTTTATCTTCTCATTCTTGCTCATTTGTTTGAATTATATTTATTTCTGATCAAAATCTTATTAATTTCAATTATTTACATTTAACCAAAAACATTCTTATTGTTATTTTACTACCATACCAGCATTCATTAAACTGTTTATGTGCCCCAATAAACATGAGAATATAGTGAAGACTTGTTTATCGTCTTTATTTCATTAACACAATTCTTGAAATATGATAGTTTAATAATAAAAACTGCCAATCTTAGGAGTTTTTAAACCTTCAAAATTTACAGGGATATTCAACAAAACAATATGAGTCCAATTTTTCATCCGATTCTCTTGGAACTAAAGCATGACAAGCAAATTAGCCATTTTTGAAGAACGGTTCAAAGTCCAATTAACTCTAAATTTTGAACATGAACCAAATAAAGCCCGATGCTTTAAAATTCAGGAATTTTTGTATACAAACTTAAATTCAAAGAATTCGTTTTATCTTTTAAAATGTTTCTGTTTCCCCTCTTTTTAATAATAAATTAAAATTTTAACCTCAATCAATAAACAATAAGATGTTGGATTGAATCATTAAGATTATTGTTAGCTTACATTCCATCAGTATTTAGTCCTATATACTTATATCCATTTGATATTTCATCAGGACACAGTTCACACTTCTCCTAGAAACCATTTACAATTAGTTTTTATACATTTTCAGTATTTCAAATCTCAATATTTGGTTACTAATATCAAAGGTTGCAGAGATGTAGGGACTATAATTATTAAGTTTGGGACAAAGACTCACTCCCCTCCAGACTGACATGTCCTTCCCCTCCTTTTCATATCCCCCCTTTCTCACATCAATCTCCTCTCCTTTCTCCCATCCACATCCCAATCATTCTCTTTCCTACCCCATGGTTAAAACATATATTTACATTTCCATGATTGAAGGCTTTACAGACAGGGTCCATGGTGCACAGCATCTAAATTTAAACAAATTAATTAATTTTGTATTACTTTCTTGACTCCAGGTTTAGTACCCACTAACCCAGTACTCACAACCTTTTGCTCTGGTCTCTGTATTTTTTACGACAAAATTAATTGTTTATTACTTAAATCTATAAATACTTTGATTGTCTTGGTGTTTGTTTGTTTGTATCCAATAAACAACAAAACGGCGCAACCGATCAGGCCAATATTTTGTATGGGACCTCACATGACCCCAGGGAATGTTTATGGATGCTCAAAGCTACAAAAAATGTGTGTTCAAAAGTTTCTGATTTTTGTAAAATTTCAGAATTATTTAAAAATCCATCATTTTTTTTTTTAGTTTTAGACTGTACAAAGAGACGATGCTATTCCATTTAGACCTTTTAAACCAAGCTAAGAACATTCTTGTGGTTCTTCAAAGTTCCTCAGTCAAAGTTTGAGACAAATCGGTTAAGAGGTTCCTGAGTTCTGATCGCACATCCAAATAAACAAACAGAGATTACTTTATATATATAGAAGATGCATACCAGGAAAAATAAATATAATTGATAATACTCGAAATAAAGATTAATTACCTTCAATTATTTTACTTTTTATTCAGACGAGTTGCATTCCTACAGTCTAAGAGAGCAACTACAGTACTCATGGCTGAAGTCAAGAAATAGAAATAACAAAGAACTAATATGTCCACTATCTAATCTGGTCTCATACCCACTCCACTTAACAATCAGAGCCTGCGCTATTATGCAATTATCTATATATATCATAAAAAAATGGTGAAGGTCTTTATATATTTTATTGATAAAAATTAATAACTAATTTTTAATTTAATTAGTAAGAATGGGCATCTGGATTGATCTCAGAAGGATTTGGACTTGGCATAGTCAGAGCCTATAAATGTTAAAGAAAGTCCAGATTGATTATTGCTCTGATGGAGTTCTAAGAGGTCCAGACTGGACATTGCTCTGACAAAGTTCTAGGAGGCTCGGACTGAAAAATGGTGGAGCTCGGAAAGATCTGGAGATGGTTGATGAATCCAAGTTATCAGCGAGAATAGATCTGTAATCCAGTTCCTTATCAATATGGCCTGGGCAGTGGGCAGTTTGGATTTAATTAAGATAATAGAGTTATTTTATTATTAAGTGAACTATTCAACTCGGAGATCCTAAGTCTCAGCAATTCTGATGGTCTGGATTGATATAAAGATATGTCTTGATATCTAGAGAGTGTTCTTAGAACTAACTGGAAAATTTGTTGTTGTATAGTTTCTAAACCTGTAACCTGGATTTAAAGCCGTTCGGTGGTTTAAGGGTGTTCACTAAAGTTTTTAGGGTTTAAAGTTCATTTTTATACAAAAGGTTATTTTTGCAGCATAATAACTGTTAACATACATTTTAGGTTTATAAAGTTTGCACCGTTACGTTTCTTAAGGGTGTTTATGAAGTTTGAAAAAGTCCTGATAGGCAGTGAGGGTTTATAGTTTCAAAGCAATATGTTATTGACGAGGGGTTAGAACATGGTTCAATGAATGTTAGAAGTGAAATATTCAGATAGATACATGATTTCTCTCTTGAACTCTCAGAAAGTATATCCAAGTGTAAAGATAATGTTAAACTCCTTGACAATATATATAAAAACATGAGTCTAAAACAGATTCTAAAAATAATAACTTTTTAATATTTTAGACCAAAACTGCTAGTTTTATACTGTACACTTTAAATATTGTAGCAAAAAAGTGATGTGTTGATCTTTCCTGCGATCATCAATGGTATTTTTTCCCTCCTTCATCCTCAAAAAGAGAACCTGCAAATGTGCAGATGGAGAAAGGAGAAAAAAGATGAAGATTTGAAATTATTAACTATGCACCCTACCATTTTATTTTATAAAAATTATTACAAAAATAAATTATATAACACCTGCAAATAAAAGATTTGAGGCAAATAGGTCAAAATAAAATCATGATTGGACTTACAAACAGAGATTTCAACTTTAGAAATAGATGATATAGGATGGGATTTAATGAAAGGTAAACTTAAATGCTGTTCTTATTATTATTAAAGGATGTTTTACTTTTAGATATAATAATAATAATAATTATGATATTTATTGGTGAATATCAGTTAAATTTACAAAATTGTCAGAAAATAAAAAAAAACATGTATATGTAAATGTACAATATTGTTACAAATAATATTTTCTTCTATTTAGAATAGCAAAAAGATATAGCTAGCATAGCTATTTGAATACTATATCCTAAAATAAAACACATGATGGTGTGAGACCATACAACTAGTAAGGGGAAACCCAGATCAGGAGTTGGGGGGGGATCAGAGACCAGGAGATTAAGAACAACACCCAACTTCTTTGACAATGGTACATTCAGAATATACTAAGACTATAGATCTTAATTTTAAGTTACATTTCATTTAAAAAGTCGATTCACAATGGCACCCTTTACATATATGTCGTCGCCAAAATTAGAAAATTTATTATTTCTAATTGTGTTTTCTCTAAAAGTGAGTTCTAGGTTGGTTTTAAAATATTAAGCAGATAAGGTTTGAAGGTACAGTTAATGAATTGGGCAGACCCCT